GGGTTAGTTTACTGTTGTTTTTATATCAAAAGAAGGATATAGAGTATTTCATGTTGACATCAACAAACCTCTCGATTTACACAGCAACAGAAGCCATAGAATCACACTGGAACTTCAGAGGCACGAAAACAGGAAACTTCTCACTACTTCAGGTTGCACGTTTGTCATTGTTTAGGTTTCATCCTTAACGTGGATGAACGTTGTGACGATGAGCTCAGGTTGAACGGGGGAGGGAGGAGGAGGTACATGTGGTTAAGTAGAGCAACGGGGGTCCAGCCACTGAATGAAAAACATTAATCCAACCAAAAGCCGAGGAAAGACAGAAAGAGACAGAGAGAGGAAACAACAGCACAGGGTCAGGGCGGACCGCACCGAGACAGAAACAGAACATGAAGAAGAGCGTCCGCCTCAGACGGACCTCCTTATCATTCTCATCTGGTGAGCAGCCCCGTCACAGACTCCCGCCACAGGCGTCTGTGCTGGACTCTAGGACTAGATCTTTATACATACAGTTCTAGTGTTTTTTCTTTACATGTGTTTATTTTCTACATTTGTTATCACAAAAAACACAACTTTCAAACAAATGCATAAAAAACAGTGAATAATGATGAGTGTGTGTGACGCCTGACCAGAACTGTTACTATGGACTTATTGCTTTGTACACTGAGTAATGTTTGGTGCCGCCTGCATTCTGGGGCGGGGAGGGGGTCCGACATGCTGGGACCTCGCTGCTGATGGTCCGCACTGCCGCAAATAACCCAGCTCTGCTTAACATCCTTTGGTTAATTGTGCAAAGAAATTGAAGCATCAGTAACAGTTTCTGAGACGAAGACAAAAAAAAATGAAAAGAAACAGAAACATAAAACCAAACCAGGACAAAGTACAGGTTCCACTGGGTTCCATGCATAAATACACATCCACACACAGCTACATGGTGAGGTCTCCACACACGAGTGACGAACAGCAACACGGGATTGGCCCCCTTCAGACCGGGTCAGCGTGAGTGCAGAATCAGGACTAGAACATACGGTTCTGGTGTGTGGATTCTGCTCAGGAGCCTGAAACACTTCTCATGAGCAGACGTCCAAAGACAAAGGCAGGTTTTTACATCAGGAGCAGCCAGAGTGTCTGAGCTACACATATGAGTGACCGATGGTCCTTCAGCATCTTCTGCTACGTTAAATAGACGTTTTGCTGAACTTCATGCAGAGAACAGACACGTGTGAACATTCAAACACTCGTCTCGTTCACACCTTCTACGATGATGCTGCGTGACGTTTAACAGAAAGCACGACGTCTTCGTTCTTATTTCAAACGATGGCACGACTGACTGCTGCTTGGTTTTATTCCTCTGTGCTGTTCTGACTGGTCTGAAGTCACTCAGCTGGACAAAGGCAACACTACGCATTCCCATGACCCAGTCGGCAACGTGTGAATCAGAACCAGACGACTGCTGCTGGAGTGTTTCTGCACCGTCAGCCCTCCTGAAGCCACCGCCATGAGGACAGAGGAGCTGAGGGATCAACTTGTAGACAAACGTGTAGTTTTCAGGAAGATTTAACTTTCTGCATGTAAACTTCCTCACTTATCATTTAAGTGTGTAAACATCTATCCTAAATATTCCTTCTCATTAAACTTGATTGGACTCGCGTCGCTGCAATAGTCAGAATCTCACACTGGTTCTGCTTGGTCCAAAAGTCTCTGCATTGCACAAACCCTTCTTAAGGTCACGTGGGACCAAGAATAATGTCTAAATGTAATTTGTAAACTCTATAATGTCTTTACTCTGTCATATCTCTGTAGGTTTTATGTAGGTGAAGTCCTTCGACCGGGGCGGCGGGTAAACGGAGGAGGACGGCTTCACTCCTGCACTACACGGCTGAGACGTGCACAAAAAAACCTGCAGAGTTTTAAAATGGATCACTGGCAACAAGCCTTTTTTTTTTTTTACCTTTTATGCAACTAAAACAGTCATCACAAGTCATGATGCCACTTGTCTGAGCACCAGGTCACTGACATGTTTAGGTCTACACACACAGAGCAGCCGGGGACGGGACAACAAAACAGAAAGAGTCATAGTGTGCATGGAAAGGACACGCTAGTGTGAGTGCATACAGTACAATCTACATCCACAGAGTGTCTAGTTTCTGCTCACGACGCTGTGCAGTGACGTGTCTATACACTGAGATGGCTGGCTGGTAGGACGCTGCGCTGGGACGGTTCATCTGGTGGACACGGGGCTCGGTTCTGATGGGCAGCTTCTATTTAACCCTACAGGCTTCAGAGTGGTCGGGAAGCCTCGGCGATGGATGAAAATGTTCACGTTTACACACGATTGCACTCCAAATAAATATATCTATCATCAATATGCATAATAATACATTTACAGACTGCCAATTTGATATGTTTTACACCTCTATTAATCAAATATCTTTTACTTTTTTATATATATTTTAGCAATTTTTACATTAAGTTGATTATTTTTTAGTTTTTTTTTTAGCTTTTATTTTTTTAGAATTTGTGCAAACAATACGACGACGGATTGTAGAGCTTTTCTCTTGTTTCTCGTTTGTTGAGATTTTTCTGCCTAAAACTGATGCACACTCAGGAGATGAAGGTCTACTCATGTGTCAGTGTTGGGTCTAGGAGTACCCCTCATCCTGCCTGTACCCGTAGCCTCCTCCCTGCGCCTCCTCCTGGACGTACTCCTCCGTCTTCTCCCAGCCGGCGGCCCAGCCTCCGTTCACCTGCGTGGTGGCGCCGTACGTCTTGGCTGGACCTCCGAAAGCACCGTAGCTCTGAGTGATGTCGCCGGTTTCCTCTGCCAGCTCGTCCTCGTCGATGAAGCCACACTTCTCCTCGCTGGTCAGCTCCGGATCGGCCCACGGCTGCTTTTCTCCCGACGCAAAGATCCCGTAGAAGACGACGCCCCCGTAGTGCACCATGGAGGCGATGAGGAACACGTACTGCCACTCCTCTCGAGTCTGAAGAGGAAACAGGAAGAAACGGCAACGCCATGTTTGTTTACAGCGTTTATGAGTGAATGACGGGATCCTACCTACAAGATGATTTATACAAAGACAGAGTGAATGCTGCACGATCCCTTCAGTGCCATTCTGACATGTACAGCAGTTATTTTCTACATCCAGAGGAATCTATCGTATGATCACATTACCTACTACCTCTCCACCCACGTATGTATTCATATGTACGGGGAACGTTCCCTCTGCTCATCAGGGTCCGTGGATACTTCTTAAAGACACGTCGGCTCCCCGGTCACACCTCACAGGTCACCTATAGAGCAGCGTGCTGCCGTGGATTCAATAGTTTTGATCGGAACGTGTCTCCGAGCAGCCGAACGAGCTGGAGAGATGGTTCTTCACTCAGAGAACCAAGGTTAGAACTGAACCATACGTTCTCTATCATCACCAGACTATCTCTCCATCCATCTGCAAGATCTCAGGTACACTGTTGAAGGCCAAGCTGTGAACAGAGTGGCCCTCAGGTCAACTAGCAAGCTGCTGAGCTGACCAACAGTGAAGGTGGACAGAGGCCCGGCCCAGTCATCCACTGATGAGTCGCATCCAGCACCCGCTGAAGGTGGCGCTGCTGCTACACTCAGGTGATGGGTTTGAGATGACCATGTAGCTGCTGCACACATACCAGTGAGAGAGGCTGCCCACCAGGGGCCAGGACGCCTGGCACACCTGGGAAAACCAGTCCACAGTCCAGCCCGCGAGTGTCTGACCTGGTGCCTTGCCAAGGTGTTCCCTACATAGCGGCCCCTAGTGGGCAGGGAGGGAGTGGACGGACACAGCCACAGTCACACCTTTGGAGGGGGCGGGGACTGGCAGCAACCCGGAAGCGCTTACTTCCTTGCTTACAAATTCAGTGAGCTTCATGCTAAGCTAACTTTGTGGAGTAAGTTGCCAAAGCAAAGGCGGTCTGGGCGTGTTACCGGGACAGAGAGCCGCCGTGAAGTCAGCATGGACGGTACCTTCTACCGCAGCGGGGCGCTCCAGCGGCGGGCAGGCGGCGGCAGAGACACCGACCGGAGGCCCGTTCGCCCACCGGCTGGTCCGTCCACCGGCCGGTCAGTCCACCGGCTGGTCAGCAGGACCCCGACGAGCGCGTTAACTCATGAACCCGCCCCCAAAGCGCAGGTAAAGGGTTCGGGTTAGTTACAGTCGTGATGGAGGCCGGATGCCGGCTGGACGGAGGATCTTCCCGCCGTTGGTCCGAGCTCAGCGCGAGCCCCACCGAGCGCGAGCAGCACGCAGGTGTTTGGAGAATAAAGACGTAAATCTGACGAAACCCGACAGGTACCACACACACACACACACACACTGAGCGGACCGTCACAGTGCACCTGAACCAGAGGCTCGTCACGTGGAGGGACGGACCAGCGCGTGTCTGTTTCCTGCTGATGTTCTGATCAGGTCCATTGTGGGTTTAACAGAAGCTCGTCTCTCATCTAAAGTACATCCCAACAAACGCACATTTTACTGTTTGAGGAAAGATTCTCAGAAAAAGCTTTTCCCAGCTTTTATTTTTATTCATATATTATATATTTGTACAGCTTATTTTTTTTTTATTTTTAAATACATATTGTAATGTTTTTATTTCGAATAATTTTGGTTTTGTTATTACCAGTCCGATGGTGAGTTTTTGCATCAAAATTTCTATTCTATTCTATTCTATTCTATTCTATTCTATTCTCTTCTATTCTTAAATAGAAACCAGGTACCTGTGACCATGTGGCTCACTAATTAAATTTCTCCTCCATTTTACCAAACGGTGCAAACAGAAGCAGCAGCAGTCCCAGGTCTGAATATTTAGCATGTGGCAGCAGGATTACAGGATGTAGCTGAAGCCACCTGACAGCGTGGAGCAAACGGCCTGATTCAGCAGCAAGAGGAAGAACAGGGCGTGTTCAGGGCGTGTTCAGGGCGTGTTCAGGGCGTCCAGGACTTTAAGATCTTTATGATGCGTGTCCGTCCCGTCATGTGTTTCTGTGCACGTGCTCATAATGCAGGTTTACAGTGTGTGGATCTGATCAGCTCAGCATCCTGAACAGGGTTTTCTGTGTATTACTAGAACACCATGTCCTACAGGCACCGGGCCTGCATGACCCGTTTCTGACTGTCACAATCCTTCCTGAACCACGTCCAGGTGTCATCACCGCTGAAGCATGTATTGATTTGTAGTCGCCCTGTTTATCATCTATAAGCAGCGTTTGGACATTTAATAACACATTTATAACAAAAGGCCATTTTAAAGCGTTTATTAATGGACAGTGTTAGTCAGCTGTTCTAAGCTGTAATAAAGACATATTTCATGTTCCTAGAACATGCCGTCATTCATTATGTGTTAATGAGGACGTCTGCGTGGTCAGAAGAGGAGTTCTGGTTGTTATACCTGCTTATGATGACATTATGGGATGTCCTGAGCCTTTCGTTAAATGTATATCCTGTCTGTGGATGCTAAACAGGGGAAATGAGGTGGTTCTGACGTCTTTGGGCCTCCTTCAGGCCTCCTTCAGGCCTCCTTCAGGCCTCCGTCAGGCCTCCTTCAGGCCTTCAAATGAGAGAATGCTTATTGCTGTACTGCTTGGAGGAAAACCTCTTACCTTGTTTTTCGTCATAGCACCAACGATCAGCGGGCAGACCATCCCGGACAGCGTCCCCACGCCGTTAGAGATGCCCATCAGGATGCTGGCGTAGCGCGGAGCGATGTCCAGGTGGTTCACGTTAAAGCCTGACAAAGCAAAAATAACAGAAAATGAAAATACAGCCGACAGATTTTCACCATCGTGAATTCTAACGAGGCCACGAACCCGATTCAGATGCCAAATGGAGGGAGACGGTGTGACACAGTCGTAGATGAAAGCAGCACAAATGGTGACCATCTTGTTGGAAAAAAAAAACTCGGCATCACCTCGTCCTCCTCCTCCCCCACCTGACTGGCTGAATGAGTAAGTGTCCTCGCTGCACGCTGGCTGCCGGCAAACCCCCCGAGACAGCCAGCACTGAATTATTAAACACTCCAGGAGAACAACAGGCAAGAAAGTGATTTGGCTCTCAGTGGCAGACCTCTGCATCCTCTGTAGCTCAACGTAAATACGGTGAGATGTGTTGAATGAGTGGAGGAGGGAGCTGACAGGTGTAGGGTCGGGAGTGTGAATCAGATAAGATCACTATTACACAGCTCATAGTGATGAAGCTCACAGACATGGAGTCTGTCCGGAGGGCCGATGGGCTGCTTTACAGTAAAAACAAAAGACTTCCTTATAGATGAAACCAAGTCTGATGTGGTATTTAGCTTTAGAGATGCTAGTTTTTAAATGTTTCCTTCAGTTTGCACCGTCTCCTGGCTACAGCTTCATGTGAACATGTAGAAATGAGAACGTTCTTCTCTGGTTCTCAGCAACAAGGAAAATAAGCATCAGACTATTCCTTGGAGTGAGCAATGCTGTCTGTACAAATGCTCTCAGTCCCCCTAGAACCGAGCCTTAGACCCGATAAAACCACAATGAGGACATCGTTTCAGGCTTCAGCGTCTCATGTCCTCATTTTAATTACACTGGGTTACAAAAAAATTCTCTCTTGAAGGATTTTTTAGCTGATTTGGGACATTTTTGCGGCGCTGAGTCCAACTTTCTCATATGAAATCGGATTTTACAGGAAAATTAGATTTTCTAATCCTTTGAATGAACTAAATGATCCACAAGCTGATGAGCGTGAACATCTGTAGAGATAAATACATGGACATGCAGGTTTCATCAAATCACAATGTTGACCTCACTGAGCAAAACCAGTGTCATGTTTGGATTCAGCACATTGCAGTTGTCCAAAATCAGCTCAGAGAACTTTGACACCATAATGGGTGTAGAGCAGGTGTGTCCAGGTTGGAGTGGACGTACGGACCTGATATTGCGAATCCACTGAAGCCCACCGCCAGCACCAGGAAGGAGATGGCCACCCCTTTGCTGTGGGAATATCCGACCACCAGCAGCAACGTGGCCTCCATGCCAAAGCCTGGCAGAGAGAGACAGCAGGTCACACACACACACACACACACACACACACACACACACACACACACACACACACACACACACAGAGCCCACGGGCTGTTGGTCATCATCGTGCCAATTGAATTAAGCCCGATACGCGGCCCGCACTCAATTACGTAAGTGACAGATATGAAATCAATGCACAGTCACAATCAGTGAGTCAACTCGTGTCCTGAAGTATTGAACAGATCGATTTTTTTTTTTACAAAACGATATAAACAGAACCGTGTGAGGAGCAGCCGCCCCCCTAAACCCACAACACCAGTATGGATCTGACACCAGTCACACCCTGGAGCTGTGCCCAGAGAGGTGTGGAACAGTTTGATTTCCTCCTCGGTTCAGACTTCTCACCTCCACAGTTCATGATTTTCCTGACAGTGGTAGTCGTCAGGATGTTCTTGCTGCGTAGGTGGTCGGCCAGCTGGCCGCCGATGGGCACGATGATGGTCATCACCAAGTGGGGGAGGGCAGACAGTATGCCGACCTGCAAACGCACAAAGAAAGTCAGCGGCAGCACAGAAGCCTCCTTTAGAAAACAAATCCTGCTCATTGAATACTGTGCTGTGGTTTTTATTTGCTGTACAGGCCCTAAAGGTGATCTGTCAGAGGTAGAACCTTGTGTTCTTGTGGTTCTGACTGATCTGACATGAATGTGACTCCGCTGGAAAAAATGATTTTGCATTTTTCTTTTTCTCTTCTGTTGCCACAATAAATAAAAAAAATCTCAGCGTTTTGCTTTTTCATGTGAAGTCAGCAGATATTTATGACACTGATAAATCATTAAAGCACTTTGCAGCGTCGCTAACGAGCGTAGCGCCACCCAGCTGTCAGTCTGCAGCTTTACAGCGTGGCTCATTGAGATTTTTAGCAGAAAGTCGTGTTTTTTTGTTCTGTTGTGAGACTTTTGGAGGAAACGATGTCGTAGAAAAACATCACATCAGAAATAAAAAAACTGGCAGAAGGTCAGCGAAGTTCATTACATAAAGAACAGACGTTTAATGTAGTTGTTGGTGTAAAGCTGTGATTGTTTTAGCTGTGAATATTTAGGAAACCAGTTTTCAGTGTTTGCTGATTGACAACAGTTCCATGTGACTAACTCGTTCTGTCACTGAGGATTTTCTTAACCTGTCATCAGTCTGTATCCAAGAACGAGCATAAGCTTTCATCCTGGTTGTGAACCTGCTTCACCTCGTTACACAACGGATCGGCTCATCACAGAGGACCTGCGGCCACTCGCTGCTCTGACATGGACTCTGATGACGAGTCGATGAGTCAGCCCAGCAGCAGAGCGCCACTCGCTCAGCGTTAAAGCGTCTGACTCAAACGCTGGTGTCACGTGTGGCTGCGTTTGAATTCATCGTCTATTGATCCTGCAGTTTATGTGTTGGTTGCATTGGAAGCTCACCTTGCTTATCTCAAAGCCAAACACTTCCTCAAAGTACGCAGGCTGGCTGATCAGCAGCAGGTAGAAGGTCCAGCTCCTGCAGAAGTTGGCCACGATGATTGCATAGACAGGCATAGAGGTGAAGAACTTCCTCCAGGGGGTCTTGAATTTCTGGAATATATTATGAGGAACGATTGATTTGCACACAGCGTGTTATCAGCCTGGTGTTGTCTCTGTGGCAGAAATGGCTGATGAAGTTGTGCTGCTAATTGTGCAGGACAACAGACTGAAAACAGAGAGCACTGAATGGAATCACTGAGACTGATTGTGTTTCTTCAGTCTGGGCTGCTGTCTGGAGGCTCTCCACCCACCTCTGCAGGACCCATTAGCTTGGCGCTCTCTCCGATGCTCTCCTCGATGTAGCAGCGTTCCTCATCGGTGATGGTCGGATGCTCAGCGGGGCTCTCATAAGACACCAGGACCCAGAACATGTACCAGAAGATGCCAAAGCATCCTGCATGTAGCAGACAGATGACGTGTCAGAACTTCAGCTCATTACAGATGAAGCACTGCGGCTAATTTTGACCTCGGCTGTATGCACATGCACAGAATTTGGCAGCCTGATCCGTCCAACATGCCTGAGAGGATAAAGCCCAGGCAGGGAGGCTGACTGTATCCAGAGCAGAGAGCCAGAGAGAGACGGGGGGGTTATTTATTGATGCACCAAAACACTGGGTGGAGGAAATCAATGCCCAGTCTGCCTGGATGAATCCATTTGACTTTCACAGGGCTCTGGAACTATCACACTCTTAAGAGCTGACAGTTAAAGAATGCACATACGTTTTTACACACATTTATACTTCGTTCCCTGGTGGACCGATGCATATCCGTCAGTCTCACCGTAGACGTAGAACACTGAGGACCATCCTGAGTACTGAACCAGGATCCCAGCCAGAGGCATGGCTATCACAGCCCCAGCATAAGAGCCTGCAGAAGAAACAGCAAGACGGAACACTTAGAAGCTCAGACAAGTTGATCAGAGCAGTGTTATAAAGGCCACCAGGACACGTGTGAGTGTTTACCACAGAACGAGATGGTGGCCAGACGGCTCCTCTCCAGCGGCGGAGCCCACTTACTCCAGATGCCGTGACAGGCCGGGTAGGTCACTCCCTAGACACAGGGCAGGCTGCGTTAAGTCATGAACAGACAGTGGACCTCCAGGTTCTGCTGCCTGCTATTCAGACCAGGACGTTTGTTTTAGAGATCTACGTGTTCAGTGAGACTCGTCAGTGGTCTGTGGTGGCCATGTCCCAGAAGCCTCAGAAATAACCTAAATCCATTTATGTGATCAAATAAAATCCTGGATTTGTCCAGCCAACACGTTACAGGCCACATGCATGCGTTAGTTTGCACCAGTAATTGTATTAAACAAGCTGTATTGTGTTCTAGTAAATAAGATTGTAACATCTCCAAACATTTACCACCATCAGACTGTAGGACGTGTGGGAGCTGTGGGAGCTGTGGGAGCTGAGACTGTCTGTGTGGAACGCCCTTTCAGACGTGAATCAGAACCAACAGATGTCGGATACAATAACTAACAAAAATTAACATTTTCACCCCTGTAATTACGGCGAACAAACCGCACGGAGCCGTGAGCTAAGAGGCCGTGATGAGCTGCTCGGGGAGCAACGCAGGCCCGCACATATTAAATGTTCATCAGCTGCTAATTTGAACAAACTGCTGATGTAGAAATACAATTTGCACGAGTGTTCTTGGAGTCGGAGGACAGCCCAGCGCCACCGGTCTGGGATGAAATGTTGGATCATATGTTGTTCTTTTTATTTGTTCCATTAAGATGTGTTGAAGCATGTTTTGTGATGCTAGTTTACTGATAAGGGGGTCAGATGGAAACTCATCCCCCAGTCCTGGAGGGTGACGTCTTAATACAGATGATTTACATTTTCATTTCTGTTATCCAGTGTTTTCTTTGTCAGAACTGTGGCGTCGCCTTCCTGTATTTTCCACTGCAGCAGACAAACATCATCAACATTAGCTGGACAGCAGGCCTTTTTCTGGGTGCTGTGTTTCACTACAGAGCCGGAGGATTGATGTGCGTTTAGCATTTTCCTTCTCATCTGTCTGTTCAGTATCCTGGAGTGAAACAGTAAAGACAGAAAAAACAAAAAAAAGAAGCGAGACTATCCCACAGAACCCAGCTGTAGTGGACTGGATCAATACGGCTCAGCTCACATTTCCTCTGGCTGAATATCCGGAGCATCTTTCCTTTGTTTTCTCTTGGAGTGAAATGTGCAGGAAGCTCCCTTTGTTCAGAGCATCATCAGCTGTTCATACCCAGAATATCAGAGCCCTGCATCACACATATGCAGCCTTTTATAGGTGAGGATGAATCAGTGCTGCTTTCTGCATTTTTAATTAAAAGACAGAAACATCCGTACCGTGCTCATCCACCTCTTGATGTTCTTACCTCCACCAGCCCTTGTAATATCCTGACAAAGATGACACACCCGTAATGCACTCTGGCAGCCGAGGGGATGAACATGTTGAGGGTGGAGGTGAGGACGATGGCTGCACCGAACACCCTGAAACATCACAGCAAAAACAAATCAATGCCATGCGGATGTTTTCCATGCAGCAGCTGCAGCTGTGGCATCAGCACATGGAGCTCCAGTAACGGTGAATTAAACAGAACATTAATTGTCTTTTTTTGGTTTGTGGGGAGGCTCATTAGAAAATCCTCGGCCTTCATGTTTTTAAAACATTTTCACTGAATAAATCTGCACAGAACGCGGTTTGTTATTTTTATATTTAGAATAAAATCCTCTTTGTTTTTTTGTTTTCAATAAAATCTCATTCCAGACCAGCCCAGACCCCCGTGGAGCCAAACCGTGGCCGCGCACGGATCCACGCAGCGCCTGTGACGTGTCCTCGGATCTGATTGGCCCGCTCCCACATGTGCTCGTTTGACGTCACGCAGATAAATATTTTAAGCCACATTAAGATCACGTCGATGCGTAAGTGTCGCTTAGCAACGCCTGTTTTTTTTTTTTTTTGTTTTGTTTTGTTTTGATTTGATTTGATTTTTTATTTATATTTTTTTTTACCTCGAAGAAATGTTCATGAAGAAAGTCGTTTAATTTTAATTTGGTTTAATTTGAATCCACTGAGAGACAAACGGTTTGTTGCTGCCTGCTGGTTCGTCATTAGTCAGAATCTGATTCTGTCTGTTGGAAGCAGCATCACACATCTGCTTTATCAATTCTTCCTCCTTTTTCTTTCTTTCCTTCTCTTCCTGGAGGGAGCAGCTGAGCCAGAGAATAAACACGGAGCCAGTTTTCATTTCGGTCACGTCCTCCCGCCCCTCTCGTCCACGCGTGGGGGGCAAGCCCTAATCCGGCGGAGACACTGTTGGACACGGGACCGACTGATTCGATCGCATCCTCGCGTCAATCACGAGGACGAGGTGCACATAAACAGGAGGAGCGCGTCAGAGAGGTGGAGATGTGCGTTTAAAAAATACTATCTGTCCAGATATTCGCTTTTCCTTCCCACGTATATGATCACAGCGCAGGCCCACGGCTTTATTTTGAGGCCTCTCGTGTTGAGCTATAAGGTTTTAGTGGCAGAATAATTGTACAGTCACGCTCCGTGGCAGCGCACTCACTCCTAAAATGCGCATATTAATATTGCATATCCTTGCGTAATTATAGTGACTGACGCATTGGCAGAGCTCATGTGAATTAAAGCCTTTGGCGACGAGACCCGGTCTGGTATCCATGCCCTGAGAGAGCGACAGATTAGACCCGGCTCTCCTGCCCCAGGGGAGCTCATTAACAGGTGGCAGAAAGCCCTGACACCGGGAGCTGCAGGCCTGCCAGCCCGGCGCCCTGCGCGCTGTCTGCTGCCGCCTGTTCGAACCGCATCCATGTTCCGCTCAGCCCAGACGGTACGCACCACCTTCCTTTTGTCTGGTTCCATTCCTCATTGAATTTATTCCACTCTCCCACGTTGCACATGTTTTGTTTTGTTTTATTTTGGGTTTTTTTCGTTTCCTGTCTATTTAAAAAAAAAAAAAAACAAATAAAGGAAACACCACAAACTGGGAGTGAGAGGAGGACGGGAGGCATGTGGCCCACTGCTCTGCCATTTCGTTCAATATGCCAACAATAAATAATAAATACATATAAAACCCTGATGCTTCCTCTCCCAGGTGACTGGCTGACGTGTATTTGTGGTCGCTCACGGGCAGAGCCGCCTACCTGTTTGCTGCCAGCCTGGAGGAGATGTATCCTCCCGGGATTTGTGTCACGATGTAGCCCCAGAAAAAAGATCCATGAATCATCCCCACCGTCTCTGGATCCCAGTTGAACTTGGCTTTCTGGTAGATAATATGGAAAATAAAAACAGTGAACAAACCAAAACAACAACAGTGATGTTAAATAATTCCTGCTTTTTGTCAGTGATCCAGAAAGAAGCTGATGATTGGCCTGATGTGAAGGCGGGCCTGGTTCTGAAAGCCTAAAACTGTTTATTTCGATTAGGTGACATAAAGCATCCATCTTTTCTCTTTCATAAAAATAAATAAATAAAATAAATAAACAATGTAATTGAGAGGCTGTGAAGAAGGTAAATATTTTGTGCTTGTTGGATAAAAACGAGGTTTTTTCATCACATGTGGCCTTTAAGCAAAAGCCTTAAAATATTCATTAATTTAAGCCAAACAAGCGACACTCTGCTTTATTTCAGGTTTCTCTGTGGAGACCTGCGCGCCTTTATTTGGGAAGCATGAGCTTTCAGTGAGTTTTAGAAAAACGTCAACTGATATATTTATGCATGATTTAGACAAACACGCAGAGGACACACTGACTCATTTGGCGTCAGATTGATTTTTAATGAGCCTCCAGGACCTGCTATTCCATCCAAAGAATGGAGTCACGCTGCTATTAGGGCTTGCTGTCATGATAAAACAGGATACTATGCACTGCACATGGGGATTTGGGCTCGTTTTAGAACATGCAGCCTTCTTTAAAAAACAAAATTACGCACAAATATCCACTAAATTCGTAGGATCACGCGTAAAGATTCGTTGGAGAGATTTAAGATTTTAGAATCGGTTGAATGGTTTAAAGTGGCGGCAGCAGGCCGCTCACATCCCTGTCTCACATGTGGAAAAATTCATTGTCCGCTTTCTCTCTTTTTTTCTGGACAAAATCAGACTGAGGCGTCTCTCGGCATGCAGGCTGCCTCGTCTGCGGGCTGCTCGCTGCTGTGCCACACCTCTTTGATGATGATCTTGCCGTTCTGGTGGATGGTGCTGTTGTTGACCATGCCCACTATGGCCACGCCCAGGTTACATCTGATGCCGAAGGAGATGCAGAAGCCCAGGCCGCTCATGATGGCGATGATGTAGCGCCGAGGCAACCCGAAGCAGTTGCAGTCGCACAGCGGGGGCTTCTTCTCCGCGGCCTCCCGGGGCCGCCCATCCTCCGTCAGCTCGATCACCTCCCCGGTCTTCTGTTTCCTCTCTATCACTCTGCAACAGCCAGGTGAGGAAAGACACTGTCTGCTCAGTCCCCCCAAATAAAATACCAGCACAGGAGAAGGTCAAGTAGAACAGAAAATATAAAAAGACATTTCCAGCTGGAGGCCCGTTTTTATTTCCAGTCAGCATTTTATTGACTGCAGGCTGGATGCTCTGGAGCTGGGGTGGATCTATCAGAGAATTCTTGTCATACAGGGAGGAAGATGCAGGAAGCAGCTCCTGCAGAAGCACCGTGGCCACAGAGCTGTGCGGGCTGAGGCCTGTGGATCCTCATGGAGAGGATTTCTGTCACACTGAGAGACTCTCAGACGAGCTTCAAGTCAGAGCCTCAGACAGACACGAGCAACGAATAAAAACCAGAGGTGCCAATTTCCCTCCTGTTTAAACAATATATCAGCAAAACACCCAAAGTTGAGCCTGTACAGCTGGAACCAGCCGAACATGTCCCCTGACGGTACCGCATTGCAGCAGCCCCTCACTTCCCCGCTCATTAGCATTCAGGAACCGAGCAGCAGCTCCAGCCTGCAGACACACGGCGGTGGGCTTTCCTCAAACCCCCGCTCTCGTTTTTTTCTCCCCCTTCTTTCAAGGAAAACCACATTTATTGGGCCTGTTTGTCCAAATTCACAATGCAGCAAGATAGAAAAAAAAGAAGCCAAACATTTCAATTCCTGTTTTTGAATGAAAACCAAAAGGCCAGTTATAGAAAAAGAATCGAATTAAATGCAAGATGCTCTGAAATACTGCAGTGAAATCAAAGGCCTCGAGCTTCTGAGGCTCTGACAATGTCATATTTAACAAAAATATTTTTATTCACAGTATTTCTGCTGCAAGTGTGAAGGAATCAAAGAAGGGGATGAATTAAGATGTATGAAGTCTGTTTATTCTGCGTTCAGAGAGAAGCTGCGCCGGTTAAACAGCTGAAGCTCAGACACACAGGCTGCAGGTGTGTCGTCCTGTGTGCGTCACTGGCTGCAAACATGATATGAAATGCGTTACAAATTATGAATGAATCCCTAAAAAATCCGTGCGTGGCCTGCGCGTCCCGCACCACCTGTCTGCCAATGAGATGCATGTACAGGCCTCTGCGTTAGGATCCAGTGGAATCCAAACGCCTGCCAACAACGCGCGCGCACACACACACACACACACGCACACATTTGATTGCATAATTTTCTTCTCACTTCTAGAGGCGTGACTAGAGATCCTGCAAGTTGTAAAGCAGTTTGGTGGCCCGTGGACCCGCACACACCCTGTGGCTGCTAAAGTCCACGCAAATAATCACATTTTTAGCGCCAGGTTAATCACACACGCATCAGTCCAGGTGGAAAAAAATAAAAATGCCTGCTCTTACCTGTACATCTGACCCAGGGTCTTCCCCGCAAATTCCTTGACCCCCGCCGAGGCTTTCGTCTTCATGGACTCCATATCCAGCTCCGGTGTTTAGGCCTGATCTCTTTTATTTAGTAATTTTTTAGATGTATTATTTTACTGCTTCAGCGTCATGTTACAGCGCAGGATGGCCGACTGCAGCGGCTGCGAGGAAAACAACAAACCAAGTTCTAAAAGCACCGTGAGCCCGGGAGGGAGGCGGCGGTCCGCGCGTAACGGTTCTAGCGCCGAAGCGAAAGCGCCAAAGCGAAAACACCTCCGTTCAAAGAAGGGGGACCTAAACGAGCTGCGCGCCTTCATCCACCACCAACTCATCTCCTGCCTGATGTACAGTAGCCGCGCCGAGTGCCATCACGACGGGGGGAAGGAGGGGGGAAAAAACGAGGGGAAAATTGACAGCCAGCGTCGTAAAGAGCGATATGGATCTGTGTGCGCGACGAGGGGGGAGACAAAAAGGAGCTAATGAATGGAATAAAATAAAAGGAAAAAAAGTCAAAGTTCAGAAAGCAGAGTGGGTGTTTGGAGTAGCTTCAATAAATCAAAGAGGGAGTGAGGCTGGATCGTGTCTCCTGTGGTGAGCGCAGGTTCATCTGACGTCGTGTTCAGCACCGAGGTCAGCGACAGCAGCTCCGCGTCCAAACATCTGGCCAGCTGCTCGGCGCACCGAGGCCAGGGTCCAAACAACATGCTAATACATATATATGAGTCTGTCCCTATTAGTAATTTCATAAAACATTAGAGGAGGGGGGAGAGAGGAGGAGAGAGATGCTGCACACTCAGACCTTTATTTCTCAGCCTTTAATAATGTGGCACAAATAAATAACCTGTTTGGATTACGTGCATTTTATTTTTCATCATTCCAGTTTTTTTACGTTTTGAAAAAGCATTAAAAACAAGGAGAGGAAGCCCAGACAGAAGCTGCAGCCCTCCTGAGGGCGGTGCTATGGAAACCAAATGAGCAGGAGTGGATTTCCTCCCAACGAGCTCCAACGCAGGAATCCATCAATAATTTAAGCGTCTCTCCTGTTTTCAGCCCCCAGACAACCACATCCTCCTCAGAAACACGGCAAGACTTTACTAGTATTTAGTTTTTTAAGCATTTTATGGGACTTAAATATAATAATAA